CAGAGGCGATAGAGGGTCCCTACTCCTCTCAGTGGCAGGCAGCCATGGAAGCAGAGATGGCTTCCTCGAAGTCCACAGGCACCTACGTCGACGAGGTTCCCCCACATGGGGCGAACATCGTCAGTGGCATGTGGATTTTCAGGGTGAAGCGGCCGCCGGGCTCTCCACCTGTCTTCAAGGCACGTTATGTGGCTCGAGGCTTCAGTCAGCGGCAGGGAGTTGACTACTTCCAGACCTTCTCTCCCACCCCGAAGATGACCACTCTTCGGGTGCTGCTACACATAGCCGCTCAGCGCGACTACGAGCTTCACTCTCTTGACTTCAGCACTGCTTTCCTATAGGGCAGCCTGCACGAGGAGATTTGGCTGCGCCGCCCACCTGGCTTTACTGGGTCGTTTCCTCCTGGTACCCAGTGGAGCCTCCGGCGGCCAGTGTACGGTCTCCGCCAGGCGCCCCGTGAGTGGCACGACACACTGAGGACTACACTTGCGGCTCTTGGGTTTGCTCCTTCTACTGCCGGCCCGTCGCTGTTTTTGCGCAACGACACCTCTTTGCCGCCGTTCTACATCCTCGTGTACGTCGACGACTTGGTCTTTGCCACAGCTGACACTGCTGGACTCGCCCACGTGAAGTCCGAGCTGCAGAAGAGACACACGTGCACAGACCTGGGTGAACTGCACAGCTACCTTGGCTTGCAGATCACTCGAGACAGAGCACAGCGCACCATTACCCTGACTCAATCACACATGGTGCAGCAGGTCCTTCAGCGCTTCGGCTTCACGTACTCCTCGCCTCAGGGCACTCCTCTGTCTACTCGCCACTCGCTCTCAGCTCTGCCTTCGGATGAGTCCGTAGAGTCGAGTGGCCCGTACCCAGAGCTTGTTGGCTGCCTCATGTACTTGATGACCTGCACTCGACCTGACCTTGCATAACCTCTTAGCATTCGGGCACGCTATGTTGCTCCTGGGAGACACAGACCCGAGCACATGGCTGCAGCGAAGAGGGTGTTGCGCTACTTGTGCAGTACGTCAGGCATGGGGCTTGTGCTTGGAGGGCGGAGTCCAGTGGTCCTCACTGGTCACGCAGACGCTTCGTGGGTTGACGACCAGGCTACGCAGCGGTCGTCACAGGAGTACACCTTCAGTCTTGGTTCCGGTTCTGTCTCGTGGCGGTCTACCCGCTCGTCTTCTGTTCTCAGCTCCAGCTGTGAGGCTGAGATCTACTCTGGGGCCATGGCTGCACAGGAGTTACGCTGGCTCACCTACCTGCTGACTGACCTTGGAGAGCCGCCTCGTTCTCCTCTAGTTCTGTACGTAGACAACAAGGCCATGCTGGCCTTGTGTCCGGAGCACAGACTGGAGCACAGAACGAAGCACATTGCTCTTCGCTACTTCTTTGCTCGTGAGCTGCAGCAGCGTGGTCAGCTGCGACTTGCTTACGTGGCCTCTCAGGCCAACACTGCTGATATCTTCACCAAGGCACTCCCGCCTTGTGATCATCAGCGCTTCTGTACTCTGTTAGGTCTTGTGCCTACTTTGCCTCACTTGCTCACCTCTTGACCTTGCTTGTACTGTGACCTTTATATACCTGCACTTGCATGTTTAGCTTCATATATATATATAATCATGCATGTGAACTGGCCTTGTGGCCTTTGAACTTGTGCTCGGAATGTGTGGTGACGTTGTGATCCACCCTGAGCTTGCTGTGCTTTGCTTGACTGGTCTTGTGACCCCTTGTTCTCCCCCACTTGCCTATGGAGGTGTGTCAAACTTATATGCTATAGTCTGTGTAGGCTGTAGTGGGGTAGACAATATAGGGTACAACACTTTTAGGGTTTCATTCTTGTACCCACCTGCTTTCTAGTGCACACATTCCTCGTCATTTTCACACCAAGGGAAAACTCGCCCCCGACGGACAAAGGACGGCGAGGTGGAGCTGCCACCACACGCGTGGCGTAGTCAAGATGGCGGGTGGAAGCAAATTCAGTAACAACGGCAGTAAGATCCGAGACAGACAACGGAGAGGCACGAGGGTCGGTGACAAGAGAGGCAAGAACACGAGAGAGAACAGGGCAAGCAGTACGGTAGTAGTGAGTGAAAGGGTGAGTGGAAACGGTAAGAGATGACGCAGGAAGTGAGGGGAGAACAGACACAGGCGGAGAAAGACAAGGAGGAGAACGAAACAATATGGTGTGGAGGTCGGCAAGAGGAGACGAGGGCTGAGCACGTTAGGACAATGACTGGTCCATTCGTGCCGAACAACAGGAGGAGGCAACGGTGACTGAGGAGGAGAGAAAACAGCCAGAGTCGAGTCCAGAGGAGGAAACGTAGGACCGTACGCAGTAGGAGACTGTGAGTGAACAAGAGGAGAGAAAGGAAGACCAAGGGCCCGAAGGCCACTCACTGAAGGGAAAAGTGACGGCTGCTGCTACTGCTGGTCCAACTGCTGCAACTCCTGCCTCTCCCTCGCCAACTGCTCCTGCTCCTCGCGCTCAAAGCCGGCCAAGGGCCTGGAAACGGGTGTCGTGGCAGTGGGGAGGCGCAGTGGGCGACGCAGTAGGCGAGCCTCTAGCTTTTGTCTCCTCAATACCAGCTCTTACAGCGCCAGCACCTCCTGCTCTAGCACCCCTGGAACTAGCACAACCTGTGTCAGCACCTCCAGCTCCAGCACCCCAAGAACTAGTACCTCCAGTGCCAGTATCTCCAGCACCAGCACCACCAGAACTAGCACCTCCAGTGCCAGCACCTCCAGCTCCAGCGCCCCCTGAACTAGCACCTCCAGTGCCTGAACCTCCAGCTCCAGCACCCCCACAGCTAGTGCCACCTGCGCCAGCACCTCCAGCTCCAACACCCCTCGAACGAGCACCCCCAGACCGAGTACCACCAGTGGCCGCACCTCCAGCTCCAACACCATCCGAGTCCACAGTAACCTGTCGCATAAGTGCCGAAGGCTGCTGAGGAGACTGTGAGGAGGACTGCGGGGAGGGAGACGCTACCTGACGCGTGACCGAGGGTAGAGGGGTAGCGTGAGACACACCTGACGGGGCAGGACCAAGGGGGGATGGGGGTACCGGAGGAGCGGGAGAAGGGGGAAGAGAGGGTGACTTCACGAGTCTGGAAGGGAGTAGTGGCGGGACGAAGGGAGGAGGAGTGCGGAGTGGCATGCAGGCGGCCGGCGACGCAAGGAGTGCAAGGTGGAGCAAGCGAGGGAGGGAGCGACAGAAAGACGCGCGGGAGACCTTAGACAAGACTGTGACTGGCCATGCTCCGGAGGCGGGGGAGCGACGGGTGGCCAATGCGTTGGTGTCACAAGACGGCCGGGTGGGCTAGGGACCGACAGGAGCAAGACGCAGCAACTAGACCGGACACAGCAACCTGACCGGACACAGCAACCTGTGGGGAGACAGTAACCTGACAAGACTCTGCTACCGGGGGGGACGAAGCAACTGACCAGACGAAGCTACCTATGGGGTCAGAGTGTGTAGGACGAAGAGACCAAAGTGGGGCTCTCTGGTGACCGTGTCAAGAACTGCCCCGGTGGAAGAGTCCGTACAGATCGCAGTCCTCTCGTGCGCAGGAAAAGTAACTGTGATCCCACAGTCCTGAAGGTGTCCAACACCCACCAAGTTCCAAGAGAACGAGGGGATGTAGAGACCAGTGCGAGAACCAGAGGGGACAGCTGGGCATGGGAGAGTGGTCGAGCTGCGAGCAACTGCTGGTCCTGAATTAGGATCAGCCAGGGACTGGAGCCGAAAGAGGTGTGACAGTGGTGTGGTCACGGAAGAAGCACTAAGACGCGCCAGAGTCCAGCGTGAAGGAGAGCGACGCAACAGCAGTCGTCACGGCTGGGCTAGTGACTACACAAGCACCTACACTAAAAGCACAAGTACCTACACTAGCAACAGACAAAGGTCCTAAGCTAGGTATACGCAAGCGAAGAGACCCATACATGACAGAATATACAGCATCTAGACATATCAAACACACGGTAACCACTACAAAATAGACCGGGCCATATCAAGGGAGCCGACTCAGGCCCAAAACGCTCACGGTAGAGGTTGTTGAGGTGGTTGTAGCAGCGATGTGCAGAGTGGTCAGGACGCCAGCAGGTAGTGCCAGCACCAGGGCTGGTCAGGATCCGGTACTGGCAGGGGCCGACGTTGCGGCCACCGTGACGAGCCCCCCAGCTGGCTGGGCCGCTGCTGCAGCCAACACTACCCGAACCACCAGGCCCCCACGGCTGTTGAGGGAGCCACAGCTGCTGAGGGCGGAGCTGCTGCTGAGGGTGCCACTGCTGCTGTGGGTGCCACTGCTGCTGTCCACTGCTGAAACGGCCGCTGCTGCTGTCCCTGCTGCTGGAGAAACCTGGTGGACTCTATGATGAAGGCTAGCAAAGTGCAGGAGTGGTAGGCTAGGAGCGACAGGGGCTAGGGACGGCTGCAATGAAAAACAAGAACAATTAGGGGGGCCAGGTGAAACTAGGCGAGTAATTGCTGGAGCACGGAGCGAACTGAGCTAGGAGCGCTAGGTGAAACTAGACGAAGAACAGTTGGAGCACGGAGCAAACTAAGCTAGGAGCGCCAGGTGAAACAAGGCAAGGAACGGCAGGAGCACAGAGCAAACTGAGCTAGGAGCGAGGAGCGAGAACGGCTGGAGCTAGAACGCGTGGAGCTGAAATGGCTGGAGCGAGAATGGCTGGAGCTAAAACGGCTGGAGCAAGAACGGCTAGAGCTAGAACGGCTAGAGCACAACTGGCTGGAGCTAGAAACGGCGAGCTAGGGCGGGCTGGAGGTAGGAACGGCCGGAGCTAGAGACCGTAAGTGCGGCTGTCGGTTGCCGCTAGTAGAGCCACTGGTGGTGGAAATTACGTGCGGCAGTAGGGGCTATAGTACTGACGACTGCGGGATGCAGGCAACTGTGCAGGTTGTCCGGCAAGCAGGAACGCGGGCGACAGTTGCAGGCCCCCACCCTAAACCTTTTTTTTTTTTAAGGGTTTAATTAATGTATTTATTTTCTGGCACTAAAGCGCCCCGGGGCGCGCTGCCTGCAGGGTGTGCTGCCTGCGGGGCGTGCTACCCGCAGGGCGCGCAGCCTAAGGGGCACGCTACCCGCGGGGCGCGCTACCCGCACAGCGCGCTGCCTGCGGGGCGTGCTACCCGCGAGGCGCGCTACCTGCGGGGCACGATACCTGTGGGGCGCGCTACCTGCGGGGTGCGAGACCTGCGGGGCGTGATACTTGCGGGGCGCGCGGCCTACGGGGTGCACTGCCTACGGGGCACGCTGGCTAAAGTAGTGCGCGTCAGCCTAAGGCAGCCTAAGGCAGAGCGCAGGGCAGCCTAGGGCAGAGCGCGAGGCAGCCTAAGGCAGAGAACGCGGCAACCTAAGGCAGAGAACAGGTATGGGTTTTTCTGCTGGATGGCGTGGGCTACGTAGGCTAGGAGATTACAAAGCGACGGAGCGACTACGGAGCGGTGGAGCGGTACTAGGCTAGGCTAGAAAATGGGGCATGGGCGGGCTAGGTTAGGCTAGGAGCGAACCTACTCATGATACCATCTCAAAAGTGATCAGTAGCGGAATGGTGAGACTAGGAAAGCAAGGCAGTACAAATGTGAAACCCTAACTAGGTTGTACTCACTAAGGAGCACCTCACTACAGCCTATAACAGATAATAACATTCGACACTAATACCCTACTACTGGTCATCATCATCACCACTGAATCCATTGTATCCTCCACGTCCGTGGTATATTGTACAGTGGTGAAAGGCAAACCGCAGTAGCAATACTGCTGCGAACACCTGTATCCCCTAGAAAGAAAGGACAAAATTCCTCAGGGACCACGCACGCCACGTTCGACCACCACTCCCGCACCCCCCCTCGCCCCTCCCCCCTCCCCTCCTCTCCCCTCTCTCCCCTCCCCCCTTCCCCCACCCTCTCCCCCTTCCTTTTGAAAAATCTGGGCTACACTCATATTCTCATCAGGGAAAGTCTCGACAAAGATCCTAAAGCATTAGAGCAGACACAACAAGAATCCTGACTACATATGGCATAAAAAAAACCAAAATCAAGGCATAGTCCGAAGCCACACCCTGAAAATGAGGGTACCCTTTTCCCCCGGATATGAGACCCCCCGAAAAAAGAACACCCCCAGGTGTCTAATATGGGGGGAGGGGGGGGGTGTGCTGCAGTAAGCCTCAAATTCATTATACCCCTCTTTTGAAGGGTAATCAATATAAGACCCCACCCCTTCCCCTATACCAGGGGTTTTCCATGTAAATTTGAACTGTAGGGGGGACTTGTCAACCCCGTCTAGATGAGCCCAACACCCTCTGTTCCCCACTCATACACGACATTTGCCCCAGCAGTGACAAGAATGAGTAGTATTCAAAGCGTCTACATGAAAATTCATTCACGCAGATGATTGGTCTCCAAAAGAGTTTCCTTGCAGGGGTTGGTCGACGCACTGCATGTGAGAATCCTCATACGATGATGAGCCCTTAACCCCTTGGGCTTGCTTATCCACTTTGATTGCTACTGCCAGCCCCTCTCTTCCCACCACCTCGTTCCTGATTTCTTGCAACTCATTGGCAATGGCTGCCATGCTGGGCCGGCTTGCAGTGCGCTCCACCGTGCAGCTGAGAGCCAGCTTGGCCAGGCGCAGCACAACATCATCCGGGGCGTCCATGCTCAAGTCCTTGAGGCGGGCCGGGTTGTTGGAGGAAATACACTCCTCCACCTGACGGGGTGAAAAGGTAGGAAGGCATGACAAGTTAAGTGTGAGACACGCAGAGGTTGACCCTTGACCATGTGCTATTTATTGGAGCTGGCTTTTGATGAGTCTGCTCAACCGTGCTAGAGTTGGTGACACGCAGTGATATGTTGTAAAATACACATACTGTACATCGTATGCGTTCGTACGATACACTTCTCTGCATTTGTAAAGCACTCAATCTTGAAGCTTGGATGCGCTCGATATATGGAGTGTCAGGCAGGGTAAGAAGAGGCAGGGGCAGTGCAAGAAAATCCTCAGTGTGAGGGTGCAAATGCTTTGTGTAGCACCGCGTATCACCATTTTTTATATAAATGCAAATAAATGTTCGTTTTTTTATTTCACCCCCTGAGTTTTTCCAACATAGGTGCAGTGCAGGGTACTTTCCTTGAGATATACGATGGTGTGAAGCTATTCGTAACAGCAGTGCCCTTAGCTGTGGCATGTGCAATAGTGGTGCCATGTGCAAAAGTGGTGCCATGTGCAACAGTGGTGTCATGTGCAACAGTGGTGCCATATGCAACAGTGGTGCCATGTGTAACCGTGGTGTCATGTGCAACAGTGGTGCCATGTGCGACAGTGGTGCCATGTGCAACAGTGGTGCCATGTGCAACAGTAGTGCCATGTGCAACAGTCGTGCCATACGCGACAATTGTGCTGTGCACATGCTTTGATTGAGAGAGGACTCACCCATTTCAGAAAGGGCACACTCTCTCCATCCGCCAAGGCGGATGGGCTTCGACCAGTGAAGACCACAAGCATGAGCACACCAAAGCTGCACACACAGAAGGAAGGGGGCAAGGAAGGAGGGGGCAAGGGATAAACATAGCGATGAAAAGGATGGAGTTGTGCACTGTTCGGGTTTGGTATAGAGCAGGATGTAGAAGCTGTGGCCAATGAATACCACACTGCACACACTGAAGCTTCACCAAGGGCAGGATGCTGATAAGTATGGTGGTTTATCCCACACGTACGCGAATAGGGTGCATGTGTGATTGGATAAATGCATCGTCATCAAAATGCAAGACGATACGATTAGCACATTATCAATAAGCGGCAGCACAAGCAAGATTCAGCAACAGACTCAGGCGTCTCTAAAATCAGCTGCTAGAATAGTAGTGGTGAATCCAGCTTACCTGTAGACATCAGTGGCCCGGGTTGCCTTGGAGGTGCGTGAGTAGATGGGATCCACATAGCCCAGTGTTCCCATCACTCGAGTGGTGCCCACGGTGGTTCCCTCCTCCTCCCTCACAAGTCCAAAGTCCGCAACCTTGGCCTGATAGATGGCACGATCAGGAAACAAGAGAAATGCATCAACGGCTAGGATGATAAGCTACTTTTCTTGTACCAACCGTACACCAATAGTAGTCTAGATGGAGTCTTTATGTGAGAGGTTTAACAGACTCAGAGTTGAACCGAATGATTGCTTCTACGCACATATCCCTAGTGGCTGGATGTCGTACAGAGGTAACATCCTAGCTGCTGTAACATCATATGTGTCTGATAATGATAACAAGAAGCACATATGCACTACCCTTTTTACTGATTTTTTGAAAAGGAGACCTTGAGGAGAAAAGGTTTGACAATTCCACGTAGCTTGCCTGCATGCTTGCTGTGAGGAGAATGTTGGCGGGCTTGATGTCGCGATGCACAAGGGTAAAATCATGCATGTACTCCAAGCCACGTGCCGCACCAATGAGGATGTCCAGCCGCTGCTTCAAGCTAAGGCGAGAGGGCACTTCTGCCAAGATACAAACACAACATAAGTGGGCTGCGAATGTGACTCTATTTCCATAAGAAAATACAAACATGGCCATGAGGAGTACATACTTGCAGTGGTCCATGTCTTAAGGTCACCATTAGGAAGATACTCGTAGATCAGGACTTGCTCTGGCCGTGTCCTCGTTTCCCCTCCAACAGCAAACCCGAGCAGCCGCACGACGTGGGGATGGTTTTTGTCAGCCATTTGACGAACCTGCGAGGAGAGCAGGCAAATAAATAAGTGGGCCAAAAGACCAGAAATTGCAACCCGGGTAGAAACCATCTTGAATTGCGTAACCACATGGATGGCACACATGCTTTTAGAATGGCCCCATAAGTGCCATGTTCGAAGCATGCCACACAAAAAGCTACTTATTTGCAAGGTCCAAGCCCCTATATGTGGTCACTCACCTCCTGCAGAAAGTCCGCTTCAAGCAGTTTGGCTCACTTGACGGCCCACAGCGTGGTGCCATCGCGCAGAGACACACTCGTGTACAGATCACCAAAGGCACCCGAGCCAAGCTGGTTGTCACTCGCCCAGTTGCTGGTGGCTGTGAGCACTTCCTCTAGGGAGTACTCCATGCAGTGCGAGGCCGCCACGCTGCCAGCCAGACCTGCTCACTCATGGGACGGAGATCAAGCACACATCGCACTTGGACTTCCTCCAGCGAGTAATCCATGCAATGAGAGGCCGACACACTGCCATCCAGGCCTGCTCATTCATGGTTACGAGGAGGAGAAAGTGCTGACATGAAGGCTTAAGCAGAGGGGCGAACACCTGTTCGGTTTGCCACGGTTTTTTTTTTTTTTTTTTTGCCCTTTTTTGTTCGCGGCGAACATTTTCGAGCGCCGCGGTAAGCACGAACATGTTCGTGCGTCTGCGACTGCGGGCAAACACAGAAGTATTCGCCCGCAACGCAGCGGTTGTCACAGGGTTACACTTTCAGCCTTGGCTCCGGCTCTGTTTCTTGGCGGTCTAGCCGTTCATCTTCTGTTCTCAGCTCCAGTTGTGAGGCTGATATCTACGCAAGGGCCATGGCTGCACAGGAGTTACGCTGGCTCACCTACCTGCTGACCGACTTGGAAGAGCCGCCTCGTTCTCCTCCAGTTCTGTACGTCGACAACAAGGCCATGATTGCCTTGTGTTAGGAGCACAGACTAGAGCACAGGACGAAGCACATCACCTTGCGTTACTTCCTTGCTCGAGAGTTGTAGCGGCGTGGTCAGCTTCGTCTTCCTTACGTGGCCTCTAGGGCTAACACTGCTGATATTTTCACCAAGGCACTTCAGCCTTGTGACCATCGGCGTTTCTGTACTGTTTTAGGCCTTATGCCTACTTGGCCTCACTTGCTCACTTCTTGATTTTGCTTGTACTGTGATCTATATGCTTATACCTGCATGCTTACACTTGCTAGGTTTTGATCACTGTACTGCTTGTTCTCCATTATATAATTCTGCGTGTGAACTGGCCTTGTGGCCATTTGCTTGTGCTCAGAGTGTGTGGTGACTTCGTGATCCACCCTGAGCTTAATTTGCTCTTTTTGACTGGTCGTGTGACCTCTTGTTCTTCCCCAATTTGCCTATGGGGGTGTGTCAAACTTATATGTTGTATTTTGTGTAGGCTGTAGTGGGGTAGCCCATAAGGGGTACAGCCCAAATTTAGGGTGAGTACTTGTACTCATCCTACTGCTAGTTGATTCATTCTCGCCTGTACTTTCTAATATTTTTAGCAGCATTTCTTCACACTTTCAGGTAGATTAATCAACTACCTTGCCATAGGAACTAGTTTGACCTTATTCGCACAACTACGAAGCACGTGACGCTCGTTTGTGCGTTCGATGGCCTGAAACTGTGCAAGGATAGGCCAGTACGCAACATATCACCGTTTCATCATTTGGTTGTTTATTTTAGCACCATTTCTACATTCATGTATTTCAATTAATTACCTTGCCATAGGAACTTTTTTGAACTCGTTCGCACAACTATGCAGCACGTGACGCTTGTTTGTACGTTCGATGGCTTGAATCTATGCAAGGATGAGCTAGTACGCAAAATGTCACCGTTTCATTGTTTGGCTGTTTTAATTACACCTTTTCTTTACACATGCAGCTATTTCAACAAATTAACTTGCCATAGGAACGTGTTTGAGCTCATTCGCACAACTGTGCAGCCCGTGACGCTTGTTTGTGCGTTCGATTGCCTGAAATTGTGCAAGGATAGGCCAGTACGCAACATGTCACCGTTTCATCGTCTGCTTGTTCTTTTAGCACCATTTCTTTACACATTCAGGTATTTCAATCAATTTACTTGCCATAGGAACTCGTTTTAACTCATGCACACAACTACGCAGCACGTGACGCTTGTTTGTGCGTTCGATGACCTGAAACTATGCAAGAATAGGCTAGTACGCAACATGTCACCGATTCATTGTTCGTAGTTTTTTTTAGCACCATTTCTTTACATATTCATGTATTTCAATCAATTTCCTTGCCATAGGAACTTGGTTGAACTCATTCGCACAACTACGCAGCACGTGACGCTCATCTGTGCTTTTGACGGCCCGAAATTGTGCAAGGATAGGCAAGTACGCAACATGTATAGGTTGCCTACCAGGTCAATCCAAACTATCGGAAAAACAATTCATTCAATGTTTTCCATGCCTGTGCTGATTTACTGCGACGTCGCCTGCTTTTGCACAATCGTCTCGTTCTCAACAATTGTCTCACCAAAGGTGAGACCAGTTAAAGAAAATGTGGATAAGGAATACAACCGTTGTTACATATGCCTACCCATATATAGAACATCATCACATACTTTTATACAATTGAAACGTTATCGATCGCTAATGCTCAAAAGGCCCTCCCTCTATGAATGGAAATAAAAATAAAGCACTATATCAAACATAATACCAACTTCCACGTTTCTGTATACTTCTGTTGGTGTTGGGGAGGTAGGGTCGAGAAGCAGATCTGCAGCATGTACTCTGGTGTTGCGTCATAGCTTGGAAACGTGTGGTTCTGTCTGTCGCTTTCCTGCACGCCGACAGGACCCTGCCAGCTGCACGTCAGTTCTGCTCGTGCGTGTCACACATCAGCTGGGCGACGTGCAGCTGGCATGGTCGTCATTTATTTCAAGAATATCGTCATGTTTTTTCTTTTCATTTCATATCGGGCAGTATGCTGGAAAATGTTTTTTACACAAATCTGTTGCTGATTACTGGGCCATGACAAACTTGCCGAAAGAACATTGTGGGCAACGGGCATGATTTATCTTTCCTCGTTTTCAGTACAACAAGAATATAATCCCAAGTCGAACCAATAGCGTCACCACCTGACACCCCACCCAAGTACACGAACCAATCATCAACCGTTGTTGTGCCAACACATACCAACGCAGCTGACAGATAAATTGAGCCATTCGTTTTGTGCACCGTGCTCTACCTTATTGCCACATAAGCATCAGCGAAGCTGATGCAAGCTTCACCACCTTGAACTTCCTTTCCTTCTCTGCCTTGCACCCTGAACTGAACCCAAGCCATTGAGTGCATGTAAATCGGGCAAGGAAGTTGCTATCATCGTTAACCCGCAAGGAGTTGTTCTCTCCTGCTGGAGTTATCTGTTACTAGGCTTGCTTCGTTCCTCGCTTTTCTGCCGCTACTTTCTGCAGACGCCTTTTGCCATGTGACCGTGAGTTTAGAAGTATTCGAGCGTTTTCTTTGTCCTGTATTTTTTACTACGTTATTGGCTCCCCCACCCGCTTCGACCCAGGGCTGATGCTATCAGACTATTTAGTCTGATTAGTCTGACGAATCAGACCATCCACTTTGTGAAATTTGTATTTCCAGAGTAGTCAAAATTTCATCACTGAGTGCCTCAGACTTATTACTTTATGGCCCTTGATTCAGTGTAATAGGACTC